TATTTATGGATATAATATTATATGATTAACACATTTTAACAATGTCAACAATAGTTTAATCATTATCATGCAATAGCAGGTGCCATATTTAAGTTAGAAAAATAATAACTAATTAGTTACCTATATATATGTGATATGTCAATAATACCATGTATTGTCACTTGTCATAAAGAGTAATACATAAGAAATAATAGGTTCTATGTAGTTTATGGTAAGAATGGACACCGTTCACCCGCGCAACACAACAGCGATCAGTTGCATCGAATGGTGCACTTAAACCGGGTTCACAGCCACGTCGTCCATCGTGTCATATTATATGCATTTTATCGTATAACCATGGTATAATTTTCTAACCATAATCTACTTGGACCTAGCTCAACTTTTGGACGACACGACAATATAGGACATGCTTCGTATACCAGTTATAGATAATATTCTAATATTATGGTACCGCGATCGTACCTTATATACATATCGTACCTACGCCGCGCAGAATACCACCTGATGGATGAAAACAAAACAAAACAAAATAATAATAACAATAATAATGATTTAAAAAAAACCCCGTTCTCGCGACAATCGCGTGTGCACACAATAAAAAATAATAACATAATGACGTGTACTCACAACTCGTGTGTATATGTGTATGTTAGTGAATATATATACAACAACGGTACCTTCTACGGACAACAGACTCGGTGGAACGATAGAACCGATCGCGGTCGCGGTACAATAGTTCGGTAATTGTGATAAATCGCTTTTATTCATTTATTTAATTTTTCTTCTTCTTCCTCTGCCTCCGTCTACCTCTACCTACTATTTCTCGGCAATATATATATAAATGTGTGTGTGTGTGTGTGTTTTATACGTATTGCGTACACTGTTGCCGCCGATTATTCTTAATGATTTCAAATAGTCCGTAACCGAAAATCAATCACAAACACACACACACGACGTTTCGTAAACTTTGATGTCTGCGCACAACAATAATAATAGTCATCTGGGACGAAATATGTACATTATTCTATACACCATACACGTATGCACATATTCATATTATATATCATATCTAAGTATAATAGTATATAGGTACCTATATATATACAAACACGACACACCGACGTATAACACTAACACACTATATATATATTCGAACACGTACCTGAGCTCCGGTGTACAATAGCAAACATACCTACTCTTCTCGTCGTGTTATACCGCCGCGCCGTATTATTCTTATTATTATTATTATAGACTTAACGACGCGGTGGTATATTGTATATAATGTGCGCATGCATGCACGTCTACAGTTTGTATATTGCAATTAGAAAATGTCATTGACTTGATTTATAAAATGTATAATAACTAATAACAGTTATAAATTTAATTAAAACAATTGGACGTATATCATATAAGGTGCAAAGTTTAGAATTTAATAACTCGCATCAACCCTAAAAAACCCTTAAAAATCCAACACCTGAAACCAATACAAACAAACTGATTTTTTTATTTCAAACACCTGAATTAACCGAAATCCAGAACAGAGTATAAATTATTTGGAAGCAAAGCTCCAATTGCTTGGGTACAGAAGGCCTCCTAAACCACCCGATCTTACTCTAAGAGACCTAACCACATGAGGAACTAAGAAATCGGTGGACGCAATTTCCACGGATATTTTAATGGAGTTTGGGATGAATTTGATTATCGATAAAAATTTAGATGTTATTCTATAACCAAGGGAAGTCATATATAGAAAATGTATAAGTACCAAGTATAAACTACATTTAAAATACTTTTATTTTATTTAATATATCATTTTGAATATCCTATAATAGTATAATATAGTATATATTATATTATGTGTTCAATTATTCCTTATTGACAAGACACTCCAGTTTTCCAACGTTTTAAGTTTTTAACATTGTTAAACGTTTTTAAATTCATTACGTGTCCCACCCCTAAAAAAAATGTTTGATTTCTTCACTAATGTTTATAATACCTACGTCTAATCTATGAGATTGTGTACATAATAATAGCGACGTGGGTGTACGCTTTTTGGTTAAATCGTAGGAACATATTAATGTGTTTGTACACAGTTTGACTATCTATATACGCCTGAATAATGATAAATTATAATAGAAATAATAAGCTAAGAAAAAAGCCACGGAGGGAAAACACAAATTTTTCCAGTATGTTTAATTACATAATATATTATAATTTATATATTGTATCCTTCGTATTACAACTTACAATCATTTTTATTTGAGTAAATAATTTCCATTGTAAAATTTACTCTAAATCTATCACACTGAAATAAAAAAAAACACTGGAGAGTGGATCTGAATTAGTGAGACTGAAAGTATTTTATAGTGTACGTCTTGTCGTTTTATGAGTTATACACTTACTTCCAATATATTATATTCTACTATAAAATGTAACAGTTTTTCTATTGTGTTTCACTACCATAGACATTAGACATGTAAAACAACAATAGAGTATAGATACGTTTGGTTTTAATCAGAGCGTTGAAGTCGATAGCATATATAGAGTATAGGACAATAATTACCAGATATTAAAACTGATAAGATAAGATAATAAATAATAATTAATTATAGATTCCAAAAATGAAAAGAATAATTTAAACCTGTTATCGGTTTTAATATATTGTGAACATTTGAATAACCTTTATAGGCACACACTTCCGCTTAACTTCCGTGATATCGTGTAGCTAATATCTAGTTTTATATTTTATTGTTCACCAACCTGTAGTATATTATTAAGTTATTCTAATTTTTAGGTTCCGAAAAAAAAAACTCTTGATTATAACATTTTAAATTTTAAATCATTTATCAAATTCATAAATAAAATTACCTTTATGCAATTCGTTTAATTTAATAAAACTTGACATAATTCATTCTCATGCCTAGATTCAAAGATAAACTTATATTGTTTAATATACAAAATGTATGTCGTATTTCTCTACATGCCCGGCGATATTGCGAGACGATGACGGATATCCTGCGCACAGACAAATGAAAAGTCGTCGTTGCAAAAAAAAACAAACAGATAGCGATATATTATACGAAGTTATACGGTTTTGGTTGACTTTCAAAACATAAATGACTCACCCGACGACGTTTCTGCGAATATATACAGACGCGAATGATATTATTATATCTCTCGCCGGGTTAGGTTTTAATAAAGTTTATCAGGGTTGCAGATTTATCGAAAACGACGACCAATTTAATTACACTCTAGTCTGATTAATCAAATACACGGAGAGTTAATGAGTTTAACTGCGAATATAAGTATGAAAAAAAATAAGTCACCGAGGGTCTTTCGGAATTATTTCTCGTTCGAAATCCGGAAAGCGCATGTAAGATAATATGCCACGTGACGTCGAATTCGCTGAAAAACTGCTCTCATAATTAACACGAAATCGTATATGATAATAATATTATAACATCATACAAAATACATACTATTAATAATACTACATTTTAGCATTTGTACTCTCACGCTCACAAAACCTCCTCAACCCTCCCACTCTCTCTCTCTCACAATCGTCAAATAGTTTTAATTGCCGTGCACTAACTATATAGTTGTTAGATTGAATCATTATGATGTACGTGAATATTATTATTCATATAGGTACGTATGATTTCGTGATTCGAAGAGAATAAAACACGAGCCAGTGTCATAATGTCACACACACAGACACAGAATAATACGCTGCACACTGCTATTATATTATTATGCACAATATTATGGTCCGATGACGAACCGATCGTAACTTTATTATAATATTTTGTTCAACAACCGTGACACGACAACACGACAAAGATTAACTTTTTACTCGCTTTCGTAGTAATATCGTGTTTACACACATATAATATATAGGTTATGCTACCTAAGTATAATATACTCAGTATTAGTTGAAGAAACTTTATTGCCGGATCGCGTCTATAAAGTATAGTATGCGATCGTGTGCCGTACCTCCATTACAATATAATATTATAATAATATTACGCTCTGCACGTCTCAAATAATATAATAATACCGCCCCACAACTTTTCAGCAGTTATTATATAATATTATAATAGTATTGCAATTGTATATTGTACTTTTTTAAAGGCCAGGTCTTAAATTGTTTTTGTCCCGACTTGAAGGATATGTGATCGGTATGAAAGGATAGAGATTAAGAAATATTGATGTTTAAGTAAATAAAAATTGACAGTGAAAACATTAGTGAAAAATTAATCACACTCAAAAATATAAAATGCAACGATTATTATGTGATTAATTTTGGCCATATTTATTCTTAAAAAAAAATTATCAATCCATACATAGGTAGAGTTAAAATTCAATAAATGTATACTATATTTGATACAGTTTATGAATTTTAAGTCTTGGATATAATCCTTATAAACTTAAATCATCATAGAGTAAATTCGCACTATAGGTACACTGCTTATTCCAGGTTACGAGTATAATATATATTATATTATACATTATACATATTATATTTTATAATAATTTTCGACTTTTTAAAAAGCGCCGTTGAATATAGCACAAACAAACGAACTACAAATAAATACGTCAATCGCTTTATTATGTACTTATTCACTACAAACAAAATATCGATAATGTTTACTATATTGTTATTAAATCCTTATACGGTATTCTAATTTCGCGCGGGGAAAGAATCGTTGGACTCGCGATTTTCGGGAAAGATTCGTGGCACGCAAAAAAACGGTCCTTCCTAATAATAAATAGGTATAAACTACGCTTTTGACGTGACATTTTTTTACACTATCATAAAGACCGTCATCATCATCATCGTCTTATTACATCGTCTTATATTATTAATAACAATTAATAAAAGGTTTAAAGTCGACGATAAAATAATAATAATAATATATTATATAGCGCACGAAGACGATGATTATAATGAAGACACTAAAACTAAAACTATAATATATAAAAAATATAAAATATATAAGTTACCTCAACCGTTTGGCTTCGTCGATGAATGGCCGTTTCTGGGGTTCGGTAAGGAGCTTCCACTCGGCGCCCAGCCGTTTGCTGATCTCGGAGTTGTGCATCTTCGGGTTTTCCTGGGCCATCTTGCGCCGTTGTCCCCTAGACCACACCATGAACGCGTTCATGGGCCGCTTGATGTGCTGCTGCACCTGCTGCTGTTGTTGGACGACTGCTGCGGCTTCCTGGACGGCCGCCGCCACAGTTGTGGCCGTACCGCCGTGCTGTTGCTGGTGCTGCTGCTGTTGCTGTTGCTGTTGCTGTTGCTGCTGTTGGTGATGATGGTGCATTTGTTGTTCGTGTTGAGCTCGGTGCTGCAGGTGTTGCTGCAAGTGTTGGTGCTGCTGCTGTTGGTGTTGGTGATAGGCCGCGGCTGCGGCGGCGGCCGCCGCGGCGTGATGATGGTTCATCGCCGGTGACTGGTGCTGGTGCAACAGCATCGCGGCCGCAGCTGCTGCAGCCGCTGCTGCTGCGGCGGCCGCGTTGGCCGCAGTGGCTGGTGGCGTGGTGGTCTTGCCGTTGCTCATGACCTGCACCGGCCGTGAACAGCTGAGACGTTCGGCGGGTGGCAGTGAGATTCTTTGGTGACGGTGCAGAGCGTGAAATGTGCCGGCGAAACGGGCGGACGGGTTGCCGCTGAGTAGACAGTAAATGCATGCACGGCCGATCAGCAGCTGCAGTGGGCCGCGCGTCACGGTGTCCGAAATGCGTGTGCAGCACACGCGGCGGCACACGGCGGCGGTTCCAACGGCGGCGCCGGCGGTCGTCCGCGGCGCCCCGCCAATGGCGTACCGCCACCGTTCCCGCCTCTTATCGACCGCCAGCCACTTTCCCATTGGTCCGATCGTCAGCCGCCGACGTCGTAGCAGTCACCGGCAGTCGCCGCCGCCGACGTGTTTTTCCGGCTAACTATATATGATGATGGTGATGATGATGCAACCGACACGCAACAAGTATGTGTGTGGTGCGCGAGGTTTTATTGTATAAGTAGAATAGGCAGCTGCGAATTGACAGACCTAAACTTGTCAGTGTTGTAGGTATAACCTGCAAGAAATAAATCAAATTCGAGTGTCATCGACTTTTCACAAAAAAATATTAGTACTAATACCTATTGCCTAGTTATTAAAGTTTACTATTATTATTAGGATGGCCTGCAGGATTTGAATGCAAAATGCATTATTTTTTGGAAAATCCCAGTGCTCTCTATTCAAGTTCAAAATCCGTTTCATACATCATAGAATTGAAAATTTAAACTTTTATTTTGCATTTTTAGCAGTTTTTGTGTTTTTAGACCTCTTTTATAGTTTTTAGAAAATGTCGTAAATTTGTCGGGCATATTAGTACATTGAAATAATATTTAGATTAAACCTAATTGATATAATAATAATTATTCAACAAAATAGCTCAATAAATTTTGTACCAACCATCAATAATTTGTAGGTCGTTCTATTTATGATTCCAACATATCGATAACGTTATCGTCTTATAATATAGGTAGGTATTTACGATGCAATTAACAGCTGTTTCATATGTCCAGGACTCAAACCAGTAACAACTAAACTAGTCAGTTGGTGTCAAATCATAATCTCGTTTATTTCGTTTCTTTTTTTAATCCGGGCTCTATAGTTACAAATTGTAATTAAATATTAAGTATTGAGTTTTTTAGAAGATCTTTACAATATATCCGCTGCCTACGACTTACTCATATAGGTCCTTAAATAATATAGGGTATAAACCAGATACCTATATATAATATTATATATTATTATTACTATGTTGTTCTATGTTAATTCTGTCTGCCGTTGTACAACTGTCAACGATTCAATTTTGTGACCGTATGTTTAAGGTTATATAGATTATAATATAATATATTGAGTATTGACACTGATTAGCCACTTACAAGTTTTGGAATTTTAAACATTTTTTATTATGATTCCCTTTTGGGTATAACATCAAATAGTTTCATATGTAAAGTATAATATTATATCATTCAGAGTACTAAAATGTTCTCAGCATGAAACAATAGGTAATATAAAAACTTTATGAAAATGGAAAACCAAGAGGAATTAAGTTTTTTTAGTTTTTTTTGTCTGTCATTACGTCATTTGAAGCAGTAGAACTAGTAGGTTAGTTTCTTGTTCTATGGAAAAGTGAATCTAGTTGGTGCTTCGGGAGGTCAAATTTTATAGCTGAGGGTTGAAAAATTAAATCATAGATTATCATATATGAACTATTTATGATAATCTACAGTAAACTGTATAACTAAAAAATTTAAAAAATATTTAAACACAGTTTTTTTACGGACATTTTTAATTCAAATTTGGACGAATAATTACATATTAATAAACCAAGATCAACGATTTTAGTTATTTTGTTGTAATTTAAAAATATTATTGGTGGATGTATGAAACTTTTAGAGTATATTATTCTATTAATACACACAATGACATTTTAAAATTTAATTTTTTTAGCAAAAATTAATTTAACCTACTGCAGTAGATACTAATGCCTAATACTAAAATTAATTACATTTATCACAATAATATCATAAAATATACCTATAGATATATATACTTAGTTAAATTATAGGCTGACAGGCCGCGTCTTCGCTTGGAATTGTTTATCGTATATTATGAACATATATATCATTGAATTCAAATTTAACACCTTTTTTGACCCGATTGTAACCTATACTGTACAGCAGAGCGACATCCACTTACCCGGTTTTTTTATCATTTATATTGTATCATACTCGCTCAAACACATAAGAAACTCGCCCAAATTCATTTCTATTATTATGTGGGTAAAAAGGTAATTCGCACAAACGCATGAATACTAGTGTTTCTTAAACTGTGTTTCTCTGGGGTTCGGTGGATAACCTCGAATAGGGGTTCGTTTGCTCAATTATATTTCTACCCTACTTTTTTGATTAGTTATTATAATATTAATTTTCATAGGGGTTCGGAATAAAAAATATATTATTGTTTGGTGTTCCGTGATTTCAAAAAGTTGACTGCTCCATAAGTATAGTACATATACCGTGCAGAGTACCTACACACACTTTCGGTTAATTGCAGACTGCAATGATGCTGCAGCAGCTTTCTATTTTTCTCTTTTTATATTTATAATACCTATTTGTATTCATTTTTTGTTCTTAATTTAATTCTTGTTTTCTATACCTACTATTATATAATTGTTCATCAAATTACGTATTTACTATTTATACTAAAAAAATAAGTTTATTAACTTTCAAAACAAAATTGTACTTATATTTTACTGCTATAATAGGGTATTCTTCGCAATAACTATAAAAATTTAAAAACCCGTTCATCTATAGGTACTGTACATAATATATACCAAACGTAAAATAAATTTGTTCAATTCCCACTGGACACTATAAAAATGTCATCAGAAGATATATATTTCAAAATTACGTTATAATTTATATACATATGTACATTAGGTGATTAATTTACAAATCAGTCAATAGATACAAGCATATATAAGCATAATAATCTTGTAACGTTCCTATTATTATATTATATATTAATGTCGTTTGAAGTTCCTCCTTACTCTAAAACTGTTCACACTAACACCATACAAACCATTAATCGCCTCAATCCGTTTATCTAAAATCTTTCTTTCAATAATACTAATCCCGATACTTCTTCCCGTCACCCAAAACAAATTCGATAGCGTGATATCCTAAAGTTTAGTACCTAAACAATTAGATTAAAAACATTAAGTCAACGAAGTTGAAGTAATTATATACTATACATTACTATATTACTACATCCATCGGGTAGTTTATACTCGTGTATACTATATTAACAACAATTGTTAACGTTAACGTCTAATTTACTTAAATAATATATAATTGTCAATAATTATTGTTCTTAATTTTTCAATTTGTAAATGATCTTCATATTTTTTAGTGAAAATCGGGGTGAAAATCAAAATGTTAACTTTCGTTCAATATACACGTTTATATTCCAATTGCAATAAATTATAACCATAATAATTATATATATAAACACACCACACATTATCTTTTTATATATTATACCTATAGATTTACAAATTGATCTTTTTAGATCAAAAATAAAATGTTAATATAGGTACTATTTAAAAGTTAGGTATGTAGTATGTATGGAGCAATATTATGACATCGACATAATCGAATTATCTCGTAAATATAATATATTTCATTATCTGCAGAGACTAATAGAATAATCTACATACACTGCTGCAACAAACCGCGATGCGGACGTCACTTGTATATCCCTTCGGCACGTGCTACATTTTTTTTAGTAAGCTTTTAAATCTCGTCTGTAGAGTTAGTACAGATAGGTTGCGTTTGATTATTTATCATACCGTTAATCGTGATTCGTGAACGCAAGACATAAATTATAATAATATAATCTAATTGTTTTATAATACGTTACACTTAGGGTAAGTTTGGGGTTTATCGCTCCACTCAAAATCCAAAAATAATAATAATCTCTTTTGTATCAGATCAATACCGTAATAAATTCAAAAACTATAATATTGCATGAGCTTGTAAATATTTTATAAAACCTTCTATATGATTTAATTTGATTACATTGTATACAATCCAGGGGTGAAAAAAGTTTTTGTAAACGTTTTTAAAATACGTTATTAAACAGAGAAAAACAAAAAACGAAAACAAATAATAAAACGAAAAAAAAAACAAAACAAAAACAAATGAAAAACGATAACAAAAAATCCCAAAAACCGAAAAAAATTTAATAAAGAAATCAAAAACGAAAACGAAAATAAATCATAGTACCACCTATTATACATTATTTAATTATTTATACCACGAAAAAAATGTCACTTAAGTCTTTACTTTTTAATCTTTACCAATGCACTTTTAACATTTAAAAACATTTTAATTTGAAATCAGAAATTTTGAATTTTCTAATTTTTATAAATTATAATTTTGATTTAAAATTTAAATACTATAAGAATAATTAATTTTAATTTTTAACTTTTAAGTGCATTTCTATACTGCGCGTTACTATTATAACTTGAGAGTTAAAAGTTATAAGTTATAAGAATATAATATAAAAAAAAAAAAAAAACGTTTTCCATCCCTGATACAATCACATGGTATACAATTCAAAGAGTAACTTTCCGCGCAACCATCATTATTTATAATATATGTACTTAATATAATAGCTTTAATTTGTATGGATATTTAAATATATAGATCGCAAACAAGACATTTCAGAATACAAACGTGTGGGATACACAAAACAAATTTTTAAAATGTGAACGAGGTAGCGATGACAGCATGACACAATGATATTTTGTAAATACAATACTCCGGATGATGCAGATAATAGGAATACAATAAAGGGTAATGTACCGCGTTTATTAACAACAATAGCAGCAGTCTACACGTCTATTAGAATATATTTTTTACGTTAACTTAATCAGAAAAGTTCGGTTCACTTCAGTTTCTATGCGATCACAAACCCAAAAGAATTCGAAAGGACACAACTTAAAAACATTTACCGTATTTAAATTTGTTATGATCGATTATATTCAATCTCTTTTTTAAAATTTCAATTTGTGTATTATGATCACCTTAAGTTGTATTTAAACATTTTGAAAATTAAGAACTATTAGTGGATTAAACGGAAATGAAAACAAAATTTAAAAAGTATACCTATAATGAGTGATCTCATCACAACTTCATAAGTAATTAAATTAAATACTTATCAGATTTCTTACTGCATAACCAGCTGATGTTAGGCAGCATGATGGACAAAAAGTACACGTTTTTTAGTAAAAAATATTACACATCAAC